ATGGGGAGATTCCTTGGCAGTTCTGGGGAAGGTAGTGGAAACTTGAAACTTAAATAAGCTTCCTCAAGAGAAGTAATAAAAAAGCTTCATAACTTCATGCCAACTAGTGTGTCAAGTCTCCCTGGGGAGCCATGAATGCCTTAAAGCTTCGGCATACTTCAAATAAAGTAAGACCTGGTGGCCCTGTTTCAAGTATGACTGAGGACACTCTGAAGAACCTTGCAGTTGAAGTTAACACCTTCAACCCCAATATGAACCCATTCCTTTTTGGCACTTTTAAGTTCAAATCAAAACTCTATTCACGGAGAGATTATTAGACTGCAAGAAAGTTTTGAGAGAATCAGGGTCAGCTGATAACTTAGGGACAACTGCAGAAAAATCAGTGGATTTCATGCGTAGTTAAGTAAATCACATAGGTTGCAACTTAACTTTATTCTAAAACTTCCTTTGATCCTTTTAACCATCAGATGGGGGGAAAAAAGGCTCAGATTTCTGTTAAGAATATTTCTTAATATATTCCTTGTTTAATTTTGCATAGTGACAATTACAGCTCTGTAATTATTTGAAGAATGAATCCAAAACTTTTTCACAACATGAAATAATGCTTAAGCCTCATTCATCACTCTCTTGATTGAGTCACTACTTTCCTCTGTTTCTGTGTTTTAACCATTTAACGAGAAAAAGCTGGTGACCATCATAACGCTGAAGAGCCAGAATATTGTTGTTCATCTCATTCCTACCACTACAGCTACCATGTCTTGGATGGCATTATTAGAAGTTAAAATCTGTGGCACAGTTGTTGTCATATACATATTTAATGCCTCCAAGGGAAGTCATTAAGGATGAAGACTAAAGTCCATGAGACCAAGGTAAGTAATCACTTAAAAGGTCTTTCCATAAAGGTCAGCATTATTGGAATGGAAAAGGGAAGTGCAAAACACGAGGCCAAAGATAATGTTGGAAGCCTTGAAAGTGGACATTGACAAGGATAAATACGCTCTTCTTTATTCAACCAACCACATTCGCACATGAATGAGGAAATGTACACAACACTTGGTATTCACTATTTATATTCTTCTGGTTTTGACATCTTGGCAAGAAGCAGAAAAAATCCTGTATATTTGACTGATCAATCAAACACTGGAATCAGTGAAGCAAAAGTAAGTGATGGATAGCAATTCTTCTCCAAACTCTTGTAATAACTGAAAAGGGTGGGGAATAAAGAGAACAGAAAAGTAATTCTCAGGTCATTCAAGTGAAAAAAAAAAAAGTTAAAATGTCCAGGTAAATGAACAATGCTAATTAATTCTTCACTACATTCTTCACTAATTAACTGTTTACTACAAATTTTAAAGATCTATATATTTCAAGAGATCTTGATTATCAGACAATTTCTGCACAGTATCAACAGATAAATCATAGAATGGTTTGGGTTGGAAGGGACCTTAAAGACTGTCTAGTCTCAACCCACTGCCCCGGGCAGGGCCCCCTTCCCCCAGCCCAGGGGGCTCCCAGCCCCGTCCAACCTGGCCTTGAACCCTTCCAGGGAGGGGGCAGCCACAGTTGCTCTGGGCACCCTGGGCCAGCACCTCACCCCCCGCACAGGGAACAATTTCTGCCTTAGATCTCACCTAAATCTGCCCTCTGGCAGTTTAAACCTGTCACCCCTCGTCCCATCCCCACCCCCTGACCCAGAGTCCCTCCCCACCTCTCCTGTCCCCCCTTTAAGCCCTGGGAGGCCGCTCGAAGGGCTCCCCGGAGCCTTCTCTTCTCCAGGCTGAACCCCCCCAACTCTCTCAGCCCGGCCTCCCAGGGGAGCTGCTCCAGCCCCCCCAGCATCTCCGTGGCCTCCTCTGGCCCCACTCGAGCAGCTCCGGGTCCTTCTGCTGTTGGGGGCCCCCGAGCTGGCCCCAGCACTGCAGGGGGGTCTCCCCAGAGCGGAGCAGAGGGGGAGAATCCCCTCCCTGGCCCTGCTGCCCCCCCTGCTCTGGCTGCAGCCCAGGGCACGGGTGGGTTCTGGGCTGCCAGCGCACGGGGCTGCCTCACGGGCAGTTTTCCCCCCACCAACCCCCCCCAGTCCCTCTCCTTGGGGCTGCTCTCCAGCCACCCCTCGCCCAGCCTGGGTTTGTGCTGGGGATTGCCCCGACCCCCAGGCAGGACCTTGCACTTGGCCTTGTTGAACTCCATGAGGTTTGCCCAGGCCCCCCCTCTCCAGCCTGTCCATGACCCTCTGGATGCCACCCCTGCCCTCCAGCGTGTCCCTGCACCACACAGCTCGGTGTCAGCAAACTTGCTGAAGGTGCCCTCAATCCCACTGTCCATGTCACTGACAAAGATGCTGAATGCCACTCATCACTCATATTTTCTTATTAATTTTAATTAAGTAATTAATGCAAATAACACACAGCACATGTTTCATCCTTCCCATTGGCTGGCTAAGTCTCTTGCAGTAATACATTTTTATTCTCTAGGTCTTCTGGCAGACTGAAGTGTTTCTCAGCACATTTCTCTGAAAGACGCTCCACTGAAATTTTTGAAAACACTTTATCTTCCACTGACTATTGTTAGGAGATTCTACAGACATACTGGCTTTTGTGAGGTTCAAAGGAAAACCAATGAAAGGACAGAGAAGATTAATCATCTTTCACCCATGACTATAAGAAAGTACCTACCTTGGAATAAGGGTATCCATAGACTTCTGCACCAAGGAGTGCTAGCGTGAATTAATGCGTTATGATGCAATGAGGAAGCTTAGTCTAATTTATCAGGTTTCTTGATGGCCTCTTTGACTCTGTGGCCTGTGTCATGCGAAGCATGTCATTGCAAATCAATTTATATTTGTTCAACAATGATGGTTCAGGTGGATCAAAACTGTCTACTGTTGAGAGTTAAATCCACTGGATTTACTAGTAGATTTCCTGAATGGGGGAGAGGCAGGAGGTGGGAAGGAAGGTTCTTGGCAGAGAGATCATTCACCAGGCATGTGTGCTTTAGAGCATAACCCTTTCTTCATCATCAAATCCAGTTTTCTTTAATCTGGCATTTCTATAATACTTATGGATCAAGGAAGGTGGCAGGAAATAAGGAGAATGAATCTGAGACACCAACTACTTTAACAGGTTAGCAGTGTTTTCTACAGCAACATCTAATATGAATACCACTGAACTTGGTAATTCTACCTTGCATTCTGATACAACCTTGGTATATCCCTGTCTGGGACTTCTGGCACCAACATAGTATGGGAAGACTCAGTTCTGAACACCACAAGCGTGTTGCAGATTGGAGGCACCGACATCCTAGGCTTGTCTGATCACAATAATATTCAGAGACTAAGAAAAATAAAAAAAATACCATCAAGCTGTGCCCTGAGAAATGATGGGGTAGCAACACCACATCAACAAGGCCACAGCAGGAGCAGGGGCAGCAGGTCTGGGAACAGCAGAGGGGAAGGTCCTCTTCTAGAGAGGTAGGAAAGCCCAGATCCAGGAAAGTCTTCACTGTGCTGATCAGGTCACTGTATTCCTCCAAGCCTGGACAATCTCTGGTCCACACAACAGAACTAGATGAAAGGCAGGTCAGCCTCTTGGATTGTTGTGACCTTCAAAGTTGGCTGTAGGCAGAGAGGAGAGGAGGACCCTCCTCAATCTTTGTTCCTCATGTGCAGACAACAAAATTCACTTCAACTTTCTGTGGGCAATGCCAATTCCTCCTTGTATGGTCCCTCCTCCACAGAATGGAGAGGTGATGAGAGACCTACCTGGAGTCACCAGGAAAAAGCAGCTTGAAGGAAGAAATGGTACAGGCTGTAATGATGATTCCTGTCAGAACTGCCTGCATCCTCCTCATCAGGTCAAGATGTCACCCTAGAGTTACAGCTCACCTTCCTTACACGTCACTACCTTGTTTCTGGATCACCTTACACGTAGTATATTATACTGTTCCCAACAAACTTTCCTCTTTCGCAGCTGGCTAGGAAACAGGAAAGCCTAAAGAAGAGCATTTCTCAATCAAATACCAATGACCTTTCCACCCATAGTAAGCAGCTTCTCCCAAACAGATTCTTTCTTTACTATTGTTTTTATTTCATTTTCACACGGGGATAGAAGACAGGTCACACTTCCTTATGGCAATTTACGTATATTTTCTCTCCCCCCTGCCATTACAGGTGTAGAAATGTGTAAGGATAAGAGAAGAAATCATTGCTTGGCAAAGTCCCTTTGTCAGAAGCCACATTCTCCAACCTGATAATGTGTTAGCTGCAAGTTCAGACACAGGTGGCACGTTTGCAAGTAAACAAAAAACGTATTGCTAAAAAAAACATTTTATTTTGTGCTTTTTTGAATTACAAATTCACATAACAGATTTGATTATATTTATCCTCTATACAAAAATCTTATAAATGGCCTACACGCTGTCAGAGAAACATGTAATTGTGAAGAACTATACTGCCCAAAATAAGGAATGCTGTACAGGAGCAATTCTTTATGCGCATTTTTGCTGATGTCTCATTATTGAGATACATTTACCACAAAAAAACATTTTTCTTGGACTACTTTCCAGAGTATTGCTTGGTGTTACAGAGGTGTTTTATCTACGTATCAAAAATGGCAAAAGAAGTCAGTTATTTTTTCTCAAGTTTCCTAAATCCGTCTTCTCAGACAGACGCTCAACCAGGAGCTCAACTAGGATTCTCTGAAATGTCTAGCACTGAAGATGGTAGCTTATTTGGATGCTGAGATGGAAGAATTAACCTTCCTTTAGGCCTTAGGTGTATTTGGACTTGAGGATTTTAAAGCCACGCTCCTTTACAAGTTCAGTTCTTGGTAATGCCGGCTGTTATCTTGATACAGTACATTCTTCAAACAAGATCTGGGTGGTGGAATAGTCAAACGAGTTACCCTCTACACAGATTGCAAAACTTGTGCCGCCTACACAGATTGCAAAGAAAATCAGATGGCTGGTGAACATATCTTGCCACCTGCGAGTTCTTGGGTTACCTCTCACATTATCTGGTATGGGATGGGTTCCTGCAGTTTACGCTTCAAAAGAAATCCTCCCACTGTGAGAACAGCAGCTACCAGCACCACGGTGGTCACAGTCAGAGGAACGTGGGAGCTGGCAGCAGGTGCTGAGCTCTGAGACTCCACTTTCACCTGGATGTCAGAGGCCAGCTCTGTGCATAAGAGAGAGAGGCTTACATTTCTTTTCCTGAGCTAGATAATCTCAAAGGTAATTATGCAAAGAGAACTTGAATTAAAATCCAGATCTGATCAAAAACCAAATAGTTTTATTGCATGTTGCTTCACAAATAATTCTGTGGCCATACCAAACAAGTAAAAGTCATGGCAAGACATTAAAGAGCAACTAAGAGTTTGTAATGATTACACTCTAAGATTATAAAATATTGCTTTCTGATAGTGGAGACTGCAGCTACAGGACACTGGGTAACAACATTTCCAAGGGGACCTACAGATTGGTTGCTAATAAGTAAGAGACATGCCAATTAGGCACAGACAGCACTGAAAAATTAATATAAATTCTGCAGGGAAACAAGTTACATCTCATCCCTCTTCCCACAAAACTGAATCAATTGCCATTTGACATCTGCAGAATGAATAACGGACCTAAACTACGATAGAAAGGAAATAACTTGTAAACCTTTTAAAACAATTTTATAAAAAATAAAAAATAATAATTTCACATAAGAATTATAACAGAGTTGTGAATAAACCAACAAAGGTATATTTCAGAGCTGGATTTCATGTCTGAACTGACACGCAAGCATACAGTAATAAATCGAGTCTCATGTTATTTAAGTTATATAAACTTACCAACATTCCTGTTCTTATTGTGAGCTTCCCAAAGCTGGACAGGTCCAATAACAACATTCACTTTTTCCTGGGAAGAGCCTGCATTCTTCTTGAACCTGCTCACACAGCCTTGGTAGCAGCGGGAAGAATAGTCATTGAACCTGCACACCACCAGCTCACATTGCAGGTAAACTGATGGGTATTGATTAAGAAACGAAAAAGCATTAAATGCAAATCGAGCAACGTTGTTCTGTGGTGAATAGTAAGAAGAGTAGGTAGGATCCTTAACACACCTGGAAAGATAAAAAATTAATAGATTAGCTATCGTAAATAGAAACACTATTACACTATCTCTGTGCAATATGTCTTGAGTTTAATTATAAAACCAGAAGGTAAGACTATAAGAGAACTCAAAAGGATAAAAAAAAAAAAAAGATGTGCTTTTGGCAAGAAGAGAAATTAAGAGACAAAATTAAGTAAGAGTGGCAGTGTTTTCCACCACAATAATTTATACAGCACAGAAATTTCATAGCTCAACAAAGTTTGTGTAAACACAAATAGCTGAAAAATAACTGGTGGTTCTGCTTGTTTCTGTGTTTCAGGTGAGGACCTGTTTTGCACTTGCAAAAGTGTTCAAGTGTTCAAGGCCAGGTTGGACGGGGCTTTGAGCAACCTGGTCTAGTGGAAGGTGTCCCTGCCCATGGCAGGGGGTTTGGGACTAGATGATCTTTAAGATCCCTTCCAATCCAAACCATTCTATGATTTTGTGATTCTATGATTACCTGTTCGCAAAGAGGTCCCTGCAGGTTGTTGCAGAAAGAGAAAGGGACCCTTTATACTCTGGAAGGACAAACCTAATTCTTAACACACATCTTTTTTGGGAAATAAACATGCTTTTTAGTCCTTCAGTGTTTGTAGAGTACCTTGCTTGAGGAATCTCAACACCTGACAGAGATCTCCAGATGTTTTGTGGAGCAAGTTGCTAGATTAACTTTCTTGTCAATGAGTTTCACTTTCTGACAATTATTAGCCTTAGAAGTTACCTAACTTAGTTCTTAGTCATTCTGGTTTAATTTAACCACCATGAAAAAAGATCACAGTAATTCATCTACAACTGTTACCCTGTAATATTTCAAAGTTGTCTTTCATTATATTTGTGCTCATTTCCCTAATAAATACACCACGGATTTTAAGTTCTCTCATTCTTAATTACTTTTATACTGCAGTGATATCCCTACACACCTGATATTTATAGATGGATATTACTGATTTTAGATTTAGTAAATACATTTGCTTTTAGCACAGTTCCATGTCACAAGAATAAAAATTAACTGGAATATTATCAGAATCTATTTGTCCCATCTCTCTGGTGAGTGTCCTGTTCACAAAGGTAGACAGCCCTTCTGTGTCCTGCTTAATGAATATGTATTTTTACAGAAAAAATAAAAAGAAAACCCAAGAAGAGGAAAAAAACCTTCCTAAGAGTCACATAAAATGTTAAAGGGAGGACATTCACCCAGCAGGCAGGAGGCATTGTCACTTCATTGGCATGTCACAAGCCTGACTTCCAGCCTAGCAACAGGTTTCTACACTGCTATGGTTACTGATGTGAACACCCTCCCAAGAAGCAGAGAATTTTGAATCCCACCAAGTACAGAAGGGTCATAAACTAGCATGAGCCTTTAGTTCCTGGAACAAAATGAGACACTAAGAGTCACACTTCTATGCTTCTAGCTCTGTCTTTTTTGCATTCTTTACAAGAGTCCACAACTTTTCCATTTCAAATCAAAAGGCATATTTTGTATCAAATTAAGCAAAATGGTTTTGGCTTCTGGAATAGCAAGAAAAAAAATAAGGATTTTATCTTCTTTTTGAACAGACTGTTTTGTATTCTAGTTATAACATTGCAAAACTCTAATGTGGTGTACGGAAATGTAGAGTCATTGACATTCCCACATTTCATGCATCTATTTCAGAAACAAATTCAGATCTCAGTTTCTACACTGCCTCCTTGAGTGAAATCTCAGTGCCTGACTGCAACTTTTGAATGGCATTTCTTTGTCATATTATATTTTATTCAGGCTTTGCCAAAAGGTCTTTCTTAGAAATTTATTTGTTTTGAGATTTGCAACTAAAATACACTGGCCCTAAATCACCTCTTTCCTTAAATTAAGCTCTTTCAGAACTGTGCATACAGATACTTTTTAAGTAATTCTTTAGAAAGTTCTTACCCATGTCTGATCAATTCATATTTCAGTGTTCTAAAATTGCTAGGATCAGGTGATGCCACACATGTGTCCACAAACACCACCAGATTTGGGTCAGAGCTGTGAAGAGAAGCTTGAAGGAACAAATTCTGATTCAGGTCAACGTAGTATGGAAAGTCATGCACTGGCCACAGAAAAGATGAGGAATTGTAGAATGTCAAGTTCACGTCATATCTGCCATACTGGGTTTCACTGACATCAACGATGTCATTATCAATGTACATTACTTGCACCCAGGTGTTCTGGAGCATTTTGCAGTTGATATGCAAGTGAAGGTCCTTTTGCCTCTTGATGATGTGACCAGAAGCAGGCACTTTTATCACATTGGAGTAGGTGATCGTTTCATTGTTGCCCTATTTGACACATTAGATGAGTACAAAATTATTGCATGTAGTCATATTCACAGTGTGTACTATGAACGTCTGTATGTGCCAGGTCCTAGTATTAGTCAGAAAGAACATGTCATACTCAAAAAACCCAAGCATCCTCAATGGGATTGTTCACTTAACTCTCTTATACTTAGTTCTCTATAACATCACTCTGAAATAGACATAGGGATTACCTAAATCCTGGAAATGATAAGTAGAAATGTTTAACAAACCTTAGTCTCCAGAACGATATGCTTCTTTTCTGTGTTTTGAATGCCTGTGAGCTACAACACCCTTTGCAATTCATGACAATTTTCCAAAATATCTATTAAATTTCCATGGCCAGATTTGGAGGGCTCTCCAAAATATGTTGACACCAACCTGTCTACGTGTACCACAGCCGTTGTATGGAATGTCAAATATAACTTCAGTTGATGTAATTGTTGGTCTACAAGAGTCAGACAAGCTGGTTTTCCAGACTGAGTAGCCCTGTGACTGGAGGTAGTGTCTGTCTACAACTGCGCGCATGTAGGTTGGCAAGCACACAAGGGCTAGGGAAGAAAATACAAATTATTAGTGATTTCAAGTACATGATAATGCTCGCATGTTACAACTTCAACAAATGCAACAGCTTCTACCATTTAGGGGAGAGAATTCATAAGCCAAACACCTTATTTTTACACCTTCGACTTCAATATGAATAAACAATAGTCTCTGACAAACTTCAGCTGACCTTCAGTTACTCTCCTGGCAAAAATATGTAGCTTACAATAGGCTTTTACTGACACCTTGAGCCTGTATCACCACTCACACAAAAATGCTAAGTGGATGATTTTCCTGAATAAGAATCCAAATGTGGAAGGTGTAGACCCAAGTGTGCACCCTGGCTTGCAGAAACATTACTTGGGTGGGAGAGGATCCTGAAACCATCTCCATGACAATTCACTGAGTCCATGGCAGGAAAAACAATGATCTCAAGGAGAGTTTGGTCTTTGGTAGAGTGAGATAGGTGATGGCAGAGACCTACTGACAAAACAGCCTCTTGAAAGGCTCTCTTGAAAAGAGCCAAATGTGATGGCCATTGGTTGTGCATGGGGAGGCTGTGAGTGCACATTAGATAAAATTTCGCACTGGGAATGGAGGACAGCACTGGAATGGGTCATTCAGAGTAACTTAGATGATTTCATCCTTTAAACGTTTTTAGAGACTCAGATAGGAAAATTCATAATGGACCTGACCTGGTTTTGGAAATACCTTTGCTTTGAATGGTTGGACTAGGAAGCCTCCAAAGATCCTTTCTAACCAATATTTCTATGATTCTATGAAAATGTGCCCACAAAGGTAGAAAAAATATATATGGATAATGTTGTGATAAGAAGAAATATGAATTTAGACTGGACATTGTAGAAAACATCTAAAGGCAATTAATTTGATATTGAAGACTTTTTTAAAAAGAAAAACTAATTATTATCTGAACATGATCAGTCAATAACCAGTTATGAAATTCAAGTAGGAATGTCATCCATGTGGGATTTCTTCAACAACATTAACAAATACTTATTTAGTAAATATAATCAGGGTAGAATCATAGAATCATAGAATGGTTTGGGTTGGAAGGGACCTCAAAGATCATCCAGTGCCACCCCCTGCCCCAGGCAGGGCCCCCTTCCCCCAGCCCAGGGGGCTCCCAGCCCCGTCCAACCTGGCCTTGAACCCTTCCAGGGAGGGGGCAGCCACAGCTGCTCTGGGCACCCTGGGCCAGCGCCTCACCCCCCGCACAGGGAACAATTTCTGCCTTAGATCTCACCTAAATCTGCCCTCTGGCAGTTTAAACCCAACACCCCTCATCCCATCCCCACCCCCTGACCCAGAGTACCTCCCCCCCTCCCCTGTCCCCCCTTTAAGTCCTGGGAGGCCGCTCGAAGGGCTCCCCGGAGCCTTCTCTTCTCCAGGCTGAACCCCCCCAACTCTCTCAGCCCGGCCTCCCAGGGGAGCTGCTCCAGCCCCCCCAGCATCTTCGTGGCCTCCTCTGGCCCCGCTCGAGCAGCTCGGTGACCTTCTGCTGTTGGGGGCCCCCGAGCTGGCCCCAGCACTGCAGGGGGGTCTCCCCAGAGCGGAGCAGAGGGGGAGAATCCCCTCCCTGGCCCTGCTGCCCCCCCTGCTCTGGCTGCAGCCCAGGGCACGGGTGGGTTCTGGGCTGCGAGCGCACGGGGCTGCCTCACGGGCAGTTTTCGCCCCCCCAACCCCCCCAGCCCCTCTCCTTGGGGCTGCTCTCCAGCCACCCCTCGCCCAGCCTAGGTTTGTGCTGGGGATTGCCCCGACCCACGGGCAGGACCTCGCACTTGGCCTTGTTGAACTCCATGAGGTTTGCCCGGGCCCCCCTCTCCAGCCTGTCCAGGTCCCTCGGGATGGCATCCTTTCCCTCCCACATGTAACTGTACCACACTGCTTGCTGTTGTTGGCGAATTTCATGAGGGTGCCCTCAATCCCACTGTCCATGTCACTGACAAAGGTGTTAAAAAGCACGGGTCCCAACGGTGACCCCTGAGAACACCACTCGTCACTGCTCTCCACTTGGGCATCGAGCCATTGACCTCAACTCTTTGAGTGCAACCATCCAACCAATACCTTATTCACCAAGTGGACCATCCATCAAATCCATGTCTCTCCAGTCTAGAGACAAGGATGTCATGTAGGACAGTGTTAAATGCTTTGCACAAACTCGTTTTAGTTGCTCTTCCCTTATCCACCAACACTGTTACCCCGTTGTTAAAGGCCACCAAATTTGTCAGGCATTATTTGCCCTTAGTGAAGCCATGTTGGCTGGTATAAAAGGTTCTCAGCAAAGAAAACATTACAAACAGAATGGAAACTTACTGATGTTCTGGTCTGCTGGAAAGGACTGATACTCAGCATGAAACCCTCTATTTGAATATCTGGAGTCACTGTGAAATCTAACAGACATGAAGTTTGAGGATGATGTGTATGTGAGATCAGAAGTAGAACAAATTCTTCCAAGCAGAGGAGAAGTATTGGGTGGCCCATCATAGATCTCAATATAGTCATTCTGGCATCCTCCTTGCAACCTAAGGAAGAAATATGAATACATAATAAAAGGCATTTGATAAAGTTCAGCCTTTAAGTGCTGAGCAAACAATAAACTAAGATACTGCACTCACACAATTCCGATGTAATATTTAAAATTTATTATAAGAATGGGAAGTGTGCTTGGAAACTGTGTTTATAGTTGAGATTTGGGATCCATTTATTGCCCAAGAAGGAAGAGGTTTACTTACTGAATACTTCTAAATGTGAGCATAATGCGGAAATTATTTGTCACTTGTATTTGCCACAGACAATCTGTGTTCTCTGGATAATTCAAAGGATAAGAAGGACTCTGAAGTGTTCCAGAGGAATTAAAAAGTAAGCCACCACAAATATCTTTTATAACTGAAAAAAAGAAAAAAAAATAAATAAAAAAATACATAGATGTGATGCCTTTAGATTTACATCTGTTGAAATGAAACTAAATTTTATGTGTCTAGATCATAGCAACAATAGCTTAAACCTCAAGGGACAGTGAACTGTTGTGCTCTTATCACTCAGGCTACAAGTAAAATGACCTCTTCAGAGAATTCTGACTATCCCTTAATATTTTAAATTTCATAGGCTTAATTCATACATCCATACAAGAGAAAGCAAGAGGTTCTACCACAAATAACAAAAAAGCTAGAGAAGAAAGAAGACGTTTCCAACAAAAAAGGCACAGATGAAATCCAATTCCAGCAGCAGAACTGAAGGACCTAAAAAATGACTATGTATGATTTATACTTAGTACAAAAAAGGAATTAATCAAAAATAATTAAAATATGCAAATAATAAAATTATATATTTAACAATTAGTAAGTAATATAAATCCAAAATAACTCACAGTACATATTAATAAAAAAGACATACCTGGTGTACTTGGGGGTGGAGTGGGAACAGTGGTCACTGATGTGGCAGCTGTAGGGGAGGAAGAGAAAGAAGTAAGTGAGGACCCTGAGGATGAAGACATGTGGCAATGTTTTCTCAGAGCACTGGGGATGTTGGTACCACACTGTCACAGAGACGATGGAGAGCTTGGGGGTATCAGCACGGTGCTCTTCCATGGTGGGAAAAATGCAAACCAGAGTCTTTCAACTCGTATCCTACAAGGCTGCTGCCAACAAGATCCAATTTTGGAAAGTGTCCCATTATTAAGGAAGGAAGGAAGAGGCACGGTACCTGAGCACACAACACCAGCATCTTCTTTGTGGCCACAGTCATGGATGCCCCAGCCACTGTGTCTGCACTGGAAGAGGGAGGACTCGCTCCCCGTGCAGCGCACTTCATCCAGGTAGATATTGCCTCTGCCTTGTCCAAAGTGGGCACTGGATGTTGCAGAAACAGCAGAGCCGCACCCCAGCTGGCGGCAGACGACCTGGGCATCATTCATGTCCCAGCCGTCATCGCAGACGGTGCCCTGGCCCCCGTAGTGGTAAATCTCCACGCGCCCCTCACACCGGTTCCTGCCGTTCACCAGGCGCAGGAAGGCACCTTGGAGAGGAGGAGACAGGGAAAACTTGGGAAAAACCTTCATCACGCAGGCACCTTCTCTTGCCGTGGGTCTGACAAAGCTGTCCGTGAGTTTCAGGCCACCAGGAATGGCACCGTCCGCTTCATTAGGCTGTGCGTTAACCCTGGCTCTGCTCTCCCAAGGAGAAGGCCAACCCCCACCCTGCGAGCCATTAACTGGCACCGCCCAGAGCAGTGGCCAGAGGAACCCTGTCACATTCGGACCTACCTGGAGGAGCGGACGTTGTGAAGGTGGCTGGGGTCGTGGTTATGGCAGCTGTAGAGGAGGAAGAGAAAGTAGCAAGTGAGGCTCTTGAGGATGAAGGTGCATGGCCAAATTTCTCATTGCACTGGGGGGGATTTTGGTGCCACCCTGTCACATGTGTGATGGAGAGCCTGGGGGTGTCAGAAGAGTGCTCTTCCATAGTGGTAGAAATTGAAACGACAGAGTTTATAGACATCTCCAACACCTAGGTAGATGTTGGAGAATGGCTCAGAGACAAAGGTCATGAGCCCACCGAGCAGTTGTAGGATCAGAGCCTGTTCTGGGGGCTGATGCTGGGCCTCGCTGATGCTGGGCCTCACTAGGGTTTGCGTGCAGCTGCTTGCAGCTGCTGATACATGAAGAATGTCAAGGACGCTTTGGCCTTGTGTACCGTGGTGTGTCAAAAACAAGTTAAGAGGAATTAGAAATAGTGGCCTGAGAAACCTAGTGTTATGGTAACGGTGGCACGAGAAGCATAGTGTTATGAGAAGCTTGTGCTGTTAGCTAACTGCAAGTAGGTGGACCGTGCGAATATGACCCTTAGAGCTTAAGCCAATCAGCTAGTGACAAGTAGGAATAATAATTAGCGTTGTCTGTATAAATATATGTACCCTGGACCAATAAAGGGATACGATATGATATATGATGCTCTATCTCCCACATTGAATCCGTCCCGGCATGTCGTTCCTCCGCAGCTCCGCAGGTAAATGCCGACAAGCCGCGCAAATTTTGGAAGGCGTACTTGGATTAAGGAAGGAAGAGGCACGGTACCTGAGCACACAACACCAGCATCTTCAGAGTGGCCACAGTTGTGGACGCCCCAGCCACTGTGTCTGCACTGGAAGAGGGAGGACTCGCTCCCCGTGCAGCGCACTTCATCCAGGTAGATATTGCCGCTGCCTTGTCCAAAGTGGGCACTGGATGTTGCAGAAACAGCAGAGCCGCACCCCAGCTGGCGGCAGACGACCTGGGCATCATTCATGTCCCAGCCGTCATCGCAGACGGTGCCCTGGCCCCCGTAGTGGTAAATCTCCACGCGCCCCTCACACCGGTTCCTGCCGTTCACCAGGCGCAGGAAGGCACCTTGGAGAGGAGGAGACAGGGAAAACTTGGGAAAACCCTTCATCACGCAGGCACCTTCTCTTGCCGTGGGCCTGACAAAGCTGTCCGCGAGTTTCAGGCCACCAGGAATGGCACCCTCCGCTTCATTAGGCTGTGCGTTAACCCTGGCTCTGCTCTCCCAAGGAGAAGGCCAACCCCCACCCTGCGAGCCATTAACTGGCACCGCCCAGAGCAGTGGCCAGAGGAACCCTGTCACATTCGGACCTACCTGGAGGAGCGGACGTTGTGAAGGTGGCTGGGGTCGTGGTTATGGCAGCTGTAGAGGAGGAAGAGAAAGTAGCAAGTGAGGCTCTTGAGGATGAAGGCGGATGTACAGATTTTCTCAGAGTTCTGGGTATGTTGTTGCCACCCTGTCACATGCATTATGGAGACCTTGGGGTTCTCAGCAGAATGCTCTTCCTTGATGGGAGCAATGCAAACCACAATGTTTGATCTTGTCTCCTTCAACTATCTAGTTGTGGCCAACAAATGTCACTTTTGGAAAATGTTCCACTATTAAGGAAGGAAGAGGCACGGTACCTGAGCACACAACACCAGCATCTTCCTTGTGGCCACAGTCATGGGCACCCCAGCCACTGTGTCTGCACTGGAAGAGGGAGGACTCGCTCCCCGTGCAGCGCACTTCATCCAGGTAGATATTGCCTCTGCCTTGTCCAAAGTGGGCACTGGATGTTGCAGAAACAGCAGAGCCGCACCCCAGCTGGCGGCAGACGACCTGGGCATCATTCATGTCCCAGCCGTCATCGCAGACAGTGCCCTGGCCCCCGTAGTGGTAAATCTCCACGCGCCCCTCACACCGGTTCGTGCCGTTCACCAGGCGCAGGAAGGCACCTTGGAGAGGAGGAGACAGGGAAAACTTGGGAAAACCCTTCATCACGCAGGCACCTTCTCTTGCCGTGGGCCTGACAAAGCTGTCCGCGAGTTTCAGGCCACCAGGAATGGCACCCTCCGCTTCATTAGGCTGTGCGTTAACCCTGGCTCTGCTCTCCCAAGGAGAAGGCCAACCCCCACCCTGCGAGCCATTAACTGGCACCGCCCAGAGCAGTGGCCAGAGGAACCCTGTCACATTCGGACCTACCTGGAGGAGCGGACGTTGTGAAGGTGGCTGGGGTCGTGGTTATGGCAGCTGTAGAGGAGGAAGAGAAAGTAGCAAGTGAGGCTCTTGAGGATGAAGGTGCATGGCCAAATTTCTCATTGCACTGGGGGGGATTTTGGTGCCACCCTGTCACATGTGTGATGGAGAGCCTGGGGGTGTCAGAAGAGTGCTCTTCCATAGTGGTAGAAATTGAAACGACAGAGTTTATAGACATCTCCAACACCTAGGTAGATGTTGGAGAATGGCTCAGAGACAAAGGTCATGAGCCCACCGAGCAGTTGTAGGATCAGAGCCTGTTCTGGGGGCTGATGCTGGGCCTCGCTGATGCTGGGCCTCACTAGGGTTTGCGTGCAGCTGCTTGCAGCTGCTGATACATGAAGAATGTCAAGGACGCTTTGGCCTTGTGTACCGTGGTGTGTCAAAAACAAGTTAAGAGGAATTAGAAATAGTGGCCTGAGAAACCTAGTGTTATGGTAACGGTGGCACGAGAAGCATAGTGTTATGAGAAGCTTGTGCTGTTAGCTAACTGCAAGTAGGTGGACCGTGCGAATATGACCCTTAGAGCTTAAGCCAATCAGCTAGTGACAAGTAGGAATAATAATTAGCGTTGTCTGTATAAATATATGTACCCTGGACCAATAAAGGGATACGATATGATATATGATGCTCTATCTCCCACATTGAATCCGTCCCGGCATGTCGTTCCTCCGCAGCTCCGCAGGTAAATGCCGACAAGCCGCGCAAATTTTGGAAGGCGTACTTGGATTAAGGAAGGAAGAGGCACGGTACCTGAGCACACAACACCAGCATCTTCAGAGTGGCCACAGTTGTGGACGCCCCAGCCACTGTGTCTGCACTGGAAGAGGGAGGACTCGCTCCCCGTGCAGCGCACTTCATCCAGGTAGATATTGCCGCTGCCTTGTCCAAAGTGGGCACTGGATGTTGCAGAAACAGCAGAGCCGCACCCCAGCTGGCGGCAGACGACCTGGGCATCATTCATGTCCCAGCCGTCATCGCAGACGGTGCCCTGGCCCCCGTAGTGGTAAATCTCCACGCGCCCCTCACACCGGTTCCTGCCGTTCACCAGGCGCAGGAAGGCACCTTGGAGAGGAGGAGACATGGAAAACTTGGGAAAACCCTTCATCACGCAGGCACCTTCTCTTGCCGTGGGCCTGACAAAGCTGTCCGCGAGTTTCAGGCCACCAGGAATGGCACCCTCCGCTTCATTAGGCTGTGCGTTAACCCTGGCTCTGCTCTCCCAAGGAGAAGGCCAACCTCCACCCTGCGAGCCATTAACTGGCACCGCCCAGAGCAGTGGCCAGAGGAACCCTGTCACATTCGGACCTACCTGGAGGAGCGGACGTTGTGAAGGTGGCTGGGGTCGTGGTTATGGCAGCTGTAGAGGAGGAAGAGAAAGTAGCAAGTGATGCTTGTGAGGATGAAGGCGGATGTACAGATTTTCTCAGAGTTCTGGGTGTGTTGTTGCCACCCTGTCACATGCATTATGGAGACCTTGGGGTTCTCAGCAGAATGCTCTTCCTTGATGGGAGCAATGCAAACCACAATGTTTGATCTTGTCTCCTTCAACTATCTAGTTGTGGCCAACAAATGTCACTTTTGGAAAATGTTCCACTATTAAGGAAGGAAGAGGCACGGTACCTGAGCACACAACACCAGCATCTTCCTTGTGGCCACAGTCATGGGCGCCCCAGCCACTGTGTCTGCACTGGAAGAGGGAGGACTCGCTCCCCGTGCAGCGCACTTCATCCAGGTAGATATTGCCTCTGCCTTGTCCAAAGTGGGCACTGGATGTTGCAGAAACAGCAGAGCCGCACCCCAGCTGGCGGCAGACGACCTGGGCATCATTCATGTCCCAGCCATCATCGCAGACGGTGCCCTGGCCCCCGTAGTGGTAAATCTCCACGCGCCCCTCACACCGGTTCGTGCCGTTCACCAGGCGCAGGAAGGCACCTTGGAGAGGAGGAGACATGGAAAACTTGGGAAAACCCTTCATCACGGAGGCACCTTCTCTTGCCGTGGGCCTGACAAAGCTGTCCGCGAGTTTCAGGCCACCAGGAATGGCACCCTCCGCTTCATTAGGCTGTGCGTTAACCCTGGCTCTGCTCTCCCAAGGAGAAGGCCAACCTCCACCCTGCGAGCCATTAACTGGCACCGCCCAGAGCAGTGGCCAGAGGAACCCTGTCACATTCGGACCTACCTGGAGGAGCGGACGTTGTGAAGGTGGCTGGGGTCGTGGTTATGGCAGCTGTAGAGGAGGAAGAGAAAGTAGCAAGTGAGGCTCTTGAGGATGAAGGTGCATGGCCAAATTTCTCATCGCACTGGGGGGGATTTTGGTGCCACCCTGTCACATGTGTGATGGAGAGCCTGGTGGTGTCAGAAGAGTGCTCTTCCATAGTGGTAGAAATTGAAACGACAGAGTTTATAGACATCTCCAACACCTAGGTAGATGTTGGAGAATGGCTCAGAGACAAAGGTCATGAGCACACCGAGCAGTTGTAGGATAAGAACCTGTTCTGGGGGCTGATGCTGGGCCTCGCTGATGCTGGGCCTCACTAGGGTTTGCGTGCAGCTGCTGATACATGAAGAATGTCAAGGACGCTTTGGCCTTGTGTACCGTGGTGTGTCAAAAACAAGTTAAGAGGAATTAGAAATAGTGGCCTGAGAAACCTAGTGTTATGGTAACGGTGGCACGAGAAACATAGTGTTATGAGAAGCTTGTGCTGTTAGCTAACTGCAAGTAGGTGGACCGTGCAAATATGACCCTTAGAGATTAAGCCAATCAGCTAGTGACTAGTAGGAATAATAATTAGCGTTGTCTGTATAAATATATGTACCCTGGACCAATAAAGGGATATGATACGATATATGATGCTCTATCTCCCACATTGAATCCGTCCCGGCATGTCGTTCCTCCGCAGCTCCGCAGGTAGATGCCGACAAGCCGCGCAAATTTTGGAAGGCGTACTTGGATTAAGGAAGGAAGAGGCACGGTACCTGAGCACACAACACCAGCATCTTCAGAGTGGCCACAGTTGTGGACGCCCCAGCCACTGTGTCTGCACTGGAAGAGGGAGGACTCGCTCCCCGTGCAGCGCACTTCATCCAGGTAGATATTGCCGCTGCCTTGTCCAAAGTGGGCACTGGATGTTGCAGAAACAGCAGAGCCGCACCCCAGCTGGCGGCAGACGACCTGGGCATCATTCATGTCCCAGCCGTCATCGCAGACGGTGCCCTGGCCCCCGTAGTGGTAAATCTCCACGCGCCCCTCACACCGGTTCCTGCCGTTCACCAGGCGCAGGAAGGCACCTTGGAGAGGAGGAGACAGGGAAAACTTGGGAAAACCCTTCATCACGCAGGCACCTTCTCTTGCCGTGGGCCTGACAAAGCTTTCTGCGAGTTTCAGGCCACCAGGAATGGCACCCTCCGCTTCATTAGGCTGTGCGTTAACCCTGGCTCTGCTCTCCCAAGGAGAAGGCCAACCCCCACCCTGCGAGCCATTAACTGGCACCGCCCAGAGCAGTGGCCAGAGGAACCCTGTCACATTCGGACCTACCTGGAGGAGCGGACGTTGTGAAGGTGGCTGGGGTCGTGGTTATGGCAGCTGTAGAGGAGGAAGAGAAAGTAGCAAGTGATGCTTGTGAGGATGAAGGCGGATGTACAGATTTTCTCAGAGTTCTGGGTATGTTGTTGCCACCCTGTCACATGCATTATGGAGACCTTGGGGTTCTCAGCAGAATGCTCTTCCTTGATGGGAGCAATGCAAACCACAATGTTTGATCTTGTCTCCTTCAACTATCTAGTTGTGGCCAACAAATGTCACTTTTGGAAAATGTTCCACTATTAAGGAAGGAAGAGGCACGGTACCTGAGCACACAACACCAGCATCTTCCTTGTGGCCACAGTCATGGGCACCCCAGCCACTGTGTCTGCACTGGAAGAGGGAGGACTCGCTCCCCGTGCAGCGCACTTCATCCAGGTAGATATTGCCTCTGCCTTGTCCAAAGTGGGCACTGGATGTTGCAGAAACAGCAGAGCCGCACCCCAGCTGGCGGCAGACGACCTGGGCATCATTCATGTCCCAGCCATCATCGCAGACAGTACCCTGGCCCCCGTAGTGGTAAATCTCCACGCGCCCCTCACACCGGTTCGTGCCGTTCACCAGGCGCAGGAAGGCACCTTGGAGAGGAGGAGACAGGGAAAACTTGGGAAAACCCTTCATCACGGAGGCACCTTCTCTTGCCGTGGGCCTGACAAAGCTGTCCGCGAGTTTCAGGCCACCAGGAATGGCACCCTCCGCTTCATTAGGCTGTGCGTTAACCCTGGCTCTGCTCTCCCAAGGAGAAGGCCAACCCCCACCCTGCGAGCCATTAACTGGCACCGCCCAGAGCAGTGGCCAGAGGAACCCTGTCACATTCGGACCTACCTGGAGGAGCGGACGTTGTGAAGGTGGCTGGGGTCGTGGTTATGGCAGCTGTAGAGGAGGAAGAGAAAGAAGCATGTGAAGCCCTTGAGGATGAAGGTGCATGGCCAAATTTCTCATCGCACTGGGGGGGATTTTGGTGCCACCCTGTCACATGTGTGATGGAGAGCCTGGGGGTGTCAGAAGAGTGCTCTTCCATAGTGGTAGAAATTGAAACTACAGAGTTTATAGACATCTCCAACACCTAGGTAGATGTTGGAGAATGGCTCAGAGACAAAGGTCATGAGCACACTGAGCAGTTGTAGGATAAGAACCTGTTCTGGGGGCTGATGCTGGGCCTCGCTGATGCTGGGCCTCACTAGGGTTTGCGTGCAGCTGCTTGCAGCTGCTGATACATGAAGAATGTCAAGGACGCTTTGGCCTTGTGTACCGTGGTGTGTCAAAACAAGTTAAGAGGAATTAGAAATAGTGGCCTGAGAAACCTAGTGTTATGGTAACGGTGGCACGAGAAGCATAGTGTTATGAGAAGCTTGTGCTGTTAGCTAACTGCAAGTAGGTGGACCGTGCAAATATGACCCTTAGAGATTAAGCCAATCAGCTAGTGACTAGTAGGAATAATAATTAGCGTTGTCTGTATAAATATATGTACCCTGGACCAATAAAGGGATATGATACGATATATGATGCTCTATCTCCCACATTGAATCCGTCCCGGCATGTCGTTCCTCCGCAGCTCCGCAGGTAGATGCCGACAAGCCGCGCAAATTTTGGAAGGCGTACTTGGATTAAGGAAGGAAGAGGCACGGTACCTGAGCACACAACACCAGCATCTTCAGAGTGGCCACAGTTGTGGACGCCCCAGCCACTGTGTCTGCACTGGAAGAGGGAGGACTCGCTCCCCGTGCAGCGCACTTCATCCAGGTAGATATTGCCGCTGCCTTGTCCAAAGTGGGCACTGGATGTTGCAGAAACAGCAGAGCCGCACCCCAGCTGGCGGCAGACGACCTGGGCATCATTCATGTCCCAGCCGTCATCGCAGACGGTGCCCTGGCCCCCGTAGTGGTAAATCTCCACGCGCCCCTCACACCGGTTCCTGCCGTTCACCAGGCGCAGGAAGGCACCTTGGAGAGGAGGAGACAGGGAAAACTTGGGAAAACCCTTCATCACGCAGGCACCTTCTCTTGCCGTGGGCCTGACAAAGCTGTCCGCGAGTTTCAGGCCACCAGGAATGGCACCCTCCGCTTCATTAGGCTGTGCGTTAACCCTGGCTCTGCTCTCCCAAGGAGAAGGCCAACCCCCACCCTGCGAGCCATTAACTGGCACCGCCCAGAGCAGTGGCCAGAGGAACCCTGTCACATTCGGACCTACCTGGAGGAGCGGACGTTGTGAAGGTGGCTGGGGTCGTGGTTATGGCAGCTGTAGAGGAGGAAGAGAAAGTAGCAAGTGGTGCTTGTGAGGATGAAGGCGGATGTACAGATTTTCTCAGAGGTTTCTTATGTATAGCTGCAAAGAACAGTGAACAGACAGGTGTCCTGATCAGAAGAAATTCCTAGCAGGACCATAATAGTTCAGATCCCTTCTCTGAAGTAGGTGAGAGAGGTATTCATTTTTATTTAATTAATTATTTATTTTTAACCTTACTCTTACAAGTGTTTGTGCCTGAGTTAAAGCAGGAAGTCACCTTGCCAAGGCAAAGTGAGAAGCTGGCAGTCATTATACAACTCTAAAGGTGTTGGCTGGGAATAGTAAACCCAGGAATTCATCCCTGTAAATTGCCGATAGTATTCAGCAAGGTCTCAGTGATACTAATATTGGTTTCAGAGAAAACCCATCACTGTTGTGATCTGCATGTGTAAATGTGCATACTGGATTGTTACAGTCTCCAGGTTTTTATTCCACATACGTGAAAGTCTCAAGGGTGCAACTGTGAGCAAAACGCACATGTCTAGGGCTTTGTGATACCATACAGGATAGAAACTGTCTTGTTATTGTGCTTCCATTAAATCATATAAAGTTAATTAAGAATTAGGTGGTTCCATGTGCATCTGCCAGGTTGAATTTGAAGTCTTTTAAAGTAAATATGTATTGCAGCCAAAGAAACTATATTCCCTCTTAATTCCATAATGAAAAGCACAGTTTTGTAGAACCAAAGGCTTTCATTAGTATTTTCATGGTAGTGTTTCTTTTTTATTTGGTTTAAACTATGCTTCAAGATAATACTGCAAAACAGAGCAATATTAATTTCGTTGCATTAATTTTACTTCAACATGAATAATAGTTAATCATGATATTGAATTGTTCATATTTTTAATAAGACAACATAATGCTATCTAATTTTAGTCTGTCTTACTTCTAATCTTTGCACAAAGTTGATCATACTAGCACATGAATTACAGGTGTGGAACCAACATAGAGGAGTAAAACACCTTATTTTTTCCTACCTTTTTTGAAAGAATCCTCGTTAAAGGTTTGAAGTGGTTTATCTGAGGTGGCATCCAGGAGTGCTGCATTTAAGAGGAATAACCACAGCATGTTCTTGCTGGTACCCATGTTGTCCAGAGATGCCAATAAAGCAGGGCATCAGAATTTATACTCTGCACCTGTAAAAGAGTGAGGCTTCCAAGGTCAGTCTGGCCCATGATATGTCTGATTTCTTAGGCAATATTTTTATGACTACCTGGTCTTTACAGAATGATTACATATGAAAGGTAAAGTTTCCATTTCCTGGAAAATTTGTGCTGCTGCCCATATTATAAATTAACTGCGTGTGCAGACCCAGCATTACCTTTGGAACCAGACCAGTAAATCTATGTATTTCTTTGCCCCCACCATCCCAATTTTATTTATTTACTGCTTGTAACTAATGACTTAACTAAGCAGACTGTAGTGCACTGCAAGATGAGGCAGCAAATTCATAGCAAGCCTTCTGATAAATCCTTCAGCAGAGAGCCTTGGTCTCATAAATTTGTATATTTCTGATGGTTTTCGCTTGAAATTACAGTTTTGTTTCCCTGCTGCTTGTACAGAGACAGCAAGTCATAAATGGGATTATGTCAGGTATTGGAAGTAAATTAACATGAGCTATTTGTAACATACCCTAAGTAGACCTAATTTGGGGTCTTCTGTTGAGCTTGCTCTGCTTTACCAATGTCTTCTCTCAATCCACTGCTGTGTTCCTTAGCTGAATTTGCCAACAAGATTTCCTCCAATCCTTTGAATCACAAAGTTTATAAAAAGAGAAAGATTATGGGCAACAGCCCATAATCCTGTACTGTTAATCTGTTTGCTGCAGTCACTGCATTGCACTTCTGTTTCTCCTCATCAGATGAGGACAAATACAGGCCAGATAGAAACGGGCCAACTGTTAGTGTAATATTCTATTCATTACACTTCATCCAGGCTGTACCTAGCTGTTCATTTTGGATATGATACAAACTGCAACCAAGCCGCAATAGTTGACGTAACTCGTGATTCCTTCTGGTATATTCCAACCTTCCTCTTGTAGAAAAGCACAGTCTGGGTGCAGAGAAAAAGGGAATAAAGAGTCCTCTTTCTGCAGAGGTTCACACCGGTAGAACAGAGGAAGGAAAGACAAAAGGCCAGAGTCCAGAAACAGAATCAGAAGCTGTCAAAGCAGTTGCTGAGAAAAGCAAACAAACTGGAGGACAATGATAAATACAACTGATTATATTCATATGTTAATAAAGAAATGTAAGCCTGAACATTACTATTCACAGCTCTACTGTTCCTGACTTCCTGATAAAAGCAAAAACAATACCATGGGCTCAGTAGAGTGTGATCATAAGTTGTCATTGGGAAAGGGCTATGAAGTCATAATCCTACCTCCAAATTCTTGAAAAATAAAACCTTTGCACAGACCAAGGAGCCCAAGCAGCTGTAAACAGTTTTGCAGAAAAGGACCTAGAGGTCCTGGTGAACGAATCAACCATGAGACAGTAATGTGCCCTTGCAACCAGATGGCTGGTGGCATCCTGGTGCTACATTCAGAGGAGTATTGCCAGCAGGTCAAAGCAGGTGATCCTCCCATTCTACTCAGCACTGATGAGACACATCTGGGGTGCAGGTTCCAGTTCTGGGCTCCTCAGGACAAGAGAGACATGGACATACTAAAGTAAGTCTAGCAAAAGGCCATTAAGATTATTTAGGGACTGGAGCATCTCTCATATGAGGAGAGGCCCAGAGAAGAGAAGGCTCAGTGGGATTTCATCAATGTGTACAAATACCTGATGAGATGGAATAAAGACAGAGCCAGACTCTTCTCGGTGGTGCCTGGTGACAGGACGAGAAGCAATGGGCATGAATTGAAGTAGAGTAAATTCCACTTAAACATAAGAAAAAAGAATTTCACTGTGAGTGTGGTCAAGCAGTGGAATAGGTTTCCCAGAGAGGTCACAGATTCCTCTGTTCTTCAAGATATTCAAACCCAACTGGACACAGTTCTGAGCAATTTGTTTTCTCTGACTCTTCTTTGAATAACAGCATGGACTAGAGGATCTCCAGATCATCCAGCCTTATCTAGTGAATATGAATAGAACACCTTGAATAGAAAATTTATGGATGATGTTAAGGAGATTCAAGGATAGAGGAAGACTAAATGTGCTGTGGTTAAGTTTATCCACAACAATTACATCTGCTAGTATGATTCTTTAACACATACTTTGCTGTCAGAATTCTTGTCAGGCGTCACCAAATCCAGCATACTGGTGCATTTCTGACAATTGTGGTAAATGTTTTTTAGCTTATATTAGGACCTACGTCTTCAAGTTTGATAACAGGCACCTTTGATTTGGAGCTGCTAAAATGCCAGAGTCCTCTGTACAAAATATGCCTCAGGTTACCTCTCCTTTCTATTGCACGTACTGATATTAGAGCAGCAGGAAGTTTTCTGCAAAATAAAGTGCCATAAAAAACTGTAAACAATCTGATGTATGAGGTTGCATTCCTGACAGCGTATCAGCAAGTCATTGCTGTTCTCACCGTTTCCTCGACTCTTGATCACGTGTCACTGAGATAGAATACATGGGGTCTTAATACAAAAGGTGTCAGGCACATGAAATCTAAAGAAGTTTGTCTAAGAAAATGAGACTCAGTTAACTCATGATATCTTCTATGAGAGATCAGCTGTTCACGGGAACAAGTGTTCACTAAATTATATGGTTATACTTTGATTAAAGAAACAAATGTTATCTTTTCTATGCATTTTCAATGAAAAATGCAAGTCCAAACTACCAAAGATTGAATTTTTCCAATACAGTTTTCATTTTTAGTGGCACTTAGAGCTGTTTCTATAGCCTAGAAAGTCCTGCTATCTCCCTTGATCAATAATTTTCTTTCAGTTTAAGAAAGAAAAAAAAGATTTTACTTACTATAATGTTCTGTGTTCTAGATCCATGAATTAGTTTTCTGACATGTGCTTCTTGCACAAGGGAGCTTACACACATCAGTCTTCACATTGATCCTTTGTATCTGTCCAGGAATGTTCTGCAGGACTTAAATTCTTAGATATATTTCCATTCATTTCATGTTGAATACGAACGGGTAATATCCCACCAGGAGAGCACCCAGTGTTTCTCAGACTTGTACTTTTAGTCTGCTTTGTTTTGTCCCTACAACAGGAGAAATGTTCATTTGTAAGTCTAAGACAGTGGTAAGAATAAATATCAGAAATCTTATGAAGAGCTATATACAGGTGAAATAAATTTGTACGCCATCCATCCATAATACCCATGTCTAATGTTTCGGTAGTTTCCTAGTTGGGTAGGGTCTCATATCCACAAAACAATCTGGAAAAGCTAAAGAAATTTTGAATCAAGAGTTTGCAGCAACATCTAATTTCTTGAATCCTGTTCTCCATTTTGAACCGATTCTTTCTGCCTGTAGCAGAAGAGTCAATAACCAAGTTTTGGCTTGTATGTAACCTCATTGTCACCTCTGGTTGTCAGCATGTTTACATTTGAAATCTGGGTACAGCCATATTGGATAGCTTAGAGTCATTTTTCTTCCCTTGTTTAGACTTAATCAGGCAGAAATATAGAGATTGTACACAGCCTATTTCAGGCACCTGTATTATTCTACATATGCCTATGTGGCAGCTGCTGTTTAACTAGGTGCCTGACTGATCCTATTTGGTATACAGAGTTGAATATATGCCCCTAATCCTTTTGTAGAGATGTATATGCTTCTTATTAAATAGTATACATACCAAAAGATACATTCTGCTAAATTTGTAAGTGCTTTTCTATAAAGATTTCAAGTGATTCATTACCAACTCCAGTGGCAGACTACACCATCTGATTTGGTCGTGCTTAAAACAACAGTTCAGTTTTGCCTCTTTTATTGTCCATAGCAAATACCTCCTTAAGTAACACATTTCATGCTCTTTTCACCACTTCTACAATTTTATTGCATTTGCTTTCTCATTGCCCATTCCTCTATTTGATTTAGATTCTCCTGTAGATCTTTAGTCTGTTCATCTCTAATTTCTGTGCATGGCTCTGTTTGCACATCCCACATTGGCCCTGGTAGTGTCTGGTAAGATTGCAAGACCTCTGAAAAAGGCAGGATAAAGCATGGAAGAGATGGTTGGCAACACTAGCCGATGGCTGCACAGAATTTCACAGAGCTTATAGTTAATTGCTGACAGGTAATGCATATATTTTTGGACACTCGTGTTCTGTGAGCTTTCCTGCACTACCTGCCAGTGTCGAGGAACTTCCTACATCTGCAGACCCTGGACAGCCAGGATCCAACAGAGGTGATGCACAAATGCCTCCCAGTAATATGCCTGGGATATGGGACGTACAAATAGTCTTCGAGGATACAACCCAACCTACAAGCCACTCTCTCATTGTATGATCAGACCTGCGCTTCTCTTATGACATGATACATGTGCATTTTTGTCACACAATGAATGAAGGTCCTCAACAGTCAGAACAGCCTACAATTGAAAGGTTTCTGGAAAACATTGTGAGTACAACCTCAGTGAATGCTTCTTATGGGCCATATCTGCTCCCGTCCTACAATACCCTGCAGCTGCATTCTCTCCTACTGCTTTTTATCTGATCCTCAAGCCTGGGTTTAGCCTTCCAACCTCTTTTCATACATCTCTATTTAAACCATCCTTAGTTCTTTGAAGCATTTTTATTTGAGTGATTTTTAGTCTTCAAGCAATGCCTGTTTCTCTTCCAAGCTTTACTGAAATAAAATATATACTAGATGTGGGGAGCCAGGGGCAGCTGGCTGCTAAAAAGAAGGTGTGAACTGAGAAGACGACTTGTCTCCAAGACTCCCAATTGTTGCCATCTCTTCACCTTGATGCTTTGCCTTCAAACCAGGAGAAGGACCAGCAGGAAGGAAATTTGCTGCTAGTTGCCAAGGGGAATTGCTCAAAGGAAGTCATTGGTTCATGTGCAAAAATACCCAGATGCATAAAAAGCCACATGTGCTTGAAACACAGAGTCCGTCAGAGGTGTTGTACTGCAGGTGTGTGCTATGTGATTTATGTATAAACCCAAGGAAAGTATATAGGG